GTTAAATATTAGTGTAGATAATAGGGCATAATAATTGTTATAGAAGGCCAATAGTCGATCAAATTGACTTGTAAGAATTGTCCAAGTTCTCAACACTTAGTCATACGTATGTGACATCAAATTATTTACACTTTGACCTTGTTACAAGTGAAATAGTAAAATAATTAAGAAACAGTATAAGCAAACTTCATTTGGACAACAATAACATTAGACGGCAATCATTTTCGACTGGAATAAAATGTGGACGAACATATATCTAATTGGACTATTATATACTTGATAATTTATTTTTAATATACATAATATGCTATTTACAATATAAAAATCAACCAGTTCAAGTCTTCGTAGCGGCGATTAGATTCGCCACACGACTGACGACGGAGTAATATTGAAATTGTCAAGTTTCTTTGACAATAACAAACAAGGACAGTTTGGCAGACCCTATTGTTTCTGCTCAGTTAAAACTAAGTAAAAATCTGAATAAACTTCGTTAGAAAAGCGAGAAACAAGTGTTAGGTCTGGAAAGAAGATAAATATGTACATATACCGTGTTGTATTACAAAGTATTGAATAAAATTGTATCAGTATGGGAATTCACATCGGTTTCAGCGAGTATCGCTCCGTTTAATCAGATGGTCAAGGTATCGCTCTGTTAAAATTAATGGAAGAACATGGAAACTTAATATACTATTATGTAACTTAATATTTTTTATTATTAACTACAATGAGAATGACTAAAAACAGAACAATAATTACCTTAACCATGTGTAGTCACAACTAGTGTTCATCTTGCCAACTTGGCAGGCTGGCACAACTTCGGAGTTGTATATTTCCAAATAACGTAATTTCATAACTTCAATAACAGGCGTTTGTTCAATAATAGAACGAATAGCAAACTTTCATTTTCGTCCCGAGTAGAGGTCATTCGTTAGTACGTATATAATTCCAATGACAATAACTAGTTGATTGGCATGATTCATGCATATTTATTAAGGTCTTTTCCTTGTTTATAAGAACGAAAATGGTGTTCACGTTTCGCATTAAATTTCATTGAAAAAACGCTTTGGGGTATTTACACGAAGATCGTCATCACAAGTATTAAAATCCAGTTTTATCAATAAGAAACTGGGTTTCAAATTTAATCTTCGTACAAAACCACGAGTAAACAGAAATAGTCAAAATTAATAACATAGTCACAATAGAAAACCTGCCACATTAGAAGAACTACATACAAATCGATGATTGTCCTAGGAGTCATTCGGAGACGATAATCAAATCCTTAGTTAAAGGAGCTGGATGAGCAAAATGTGGAACCAATGCAGTTAGAACGGATTGTTCCTTACCCTATAATAAACTGATGATATTTACAAAACCGCTGCATTTCACTGAGACTTAAGGCACCACATTTCGACCAGAGATTACCGTCTCCAGCAAACGTCATAAGACAGGTTCGCTATCAAATTTCCTTGTGATAAAACGTTTTGCAGTCAGCGCAACATTACCTGGACCGTTAAGAGTACATCGAAGGCCTATCGTTATATATATATAAAAAGCTTAACTCTGTCACTAAACGGGAGACACTGACTCGTATAAAAACTATAGATCTTATAATACAAATGTCTATGACCTGTTGAGATGCTCTGGGTAGGCGTGTTAATTATATATCAGTACTAAAGGCAGCGAGCGGCGGGCGGCGGGAAACTTGAGTGTCAGTACGCTTGCGTTGTGCTCGCGGTTGAAACACGATCTGGCTTCAAGTTTCGCTGTAAACAAAAAATATTAGGTTAATATTCCAATTATATTAAAATCATTAAGAGATCTGCCTACATTTATCAAACATTCCTCAAAATTATCAGAAATTTTTAGACATAATTCAAAATTACTACGTAAAATAACAATTCGTTTTCTAAATTGTATGAAATAGTAAAACCACACACATGCAGTAGTTTCATAGTACATAATATTTGCATATAATTTCACACTTCTTATCTCAAATCCACTATGCTAAAATACATACATTCGAACTGTGAAACCGATACCGATAACAATAGATTGTCTAGCGATAAGTTTATTGCAATTTCAAGTGGCTATATTGAACATGGCAGCTGGTTAACTGCACAATCTCACTTATACAGTAAAATACTTTTAAAAGCAGTTAAAAACTACGTTGCTATTCAATCGATTATATTGTTATTGATATTGGATATCAGTCAAGTAACGAGACACAGATATCGAACTAATAAATAAACATTATCTACAGAACAACACATTTTCCTAAACATACAACGTATCGATCTACGGTGACATTACAATGACTTACTGGTATGTTCCCGTAGTCCTTTAAATGCGTTACAGACTTGAAATAAACAAATCAAATTGAGGAAGCCGCTCTTTAAACTTATAGAACAACGTCGTGTCCTACAAAACTTTTCATCCGAGAATCTTGTTCAGTTTTGAAACACGACATCAATTGTCAGTGTCTACTGACATCTAAATAGAGAAATGAAGAATTTAATTCTTTCACTGAACTATCAACAATAAGAATAATTACTGCTAGAGTCAATGATATCCCAACAAAATGTCGATTGAAAGAATCAACACTTGTATATCTCGGCTCAATATCCATTTTATTCTAAATTCAACGACGCTATTGAACGTAGGTATATATGTTAAGTCATTCATCCGATTTATAACAATAATACTCAACGGACCAGTTCATTTTATCTTTGAAATAACCTCTAACAAACCTTCATTCTAAGGCTGTCGTGATAAAAAGTTAATCCATTGTTCTCTTTTACAATATACAGATTAGGTACAATAAAAGTTGTCGTTCAGACTCTTTGTTGAAATCTACATGGAAACATTGCAAAACAATTACGTAAATTCTCTTGAAGCCTACTAAAACCAATAAGACATCAGTCTATAAAGCCTTCCTAATAGATTCTCTTTTATTGCCAATAAGGACTAAATTGGACCACTTTTGTTCGATTACAAATTTTTGTTGAGTCCCAATTTACTTGTAATTAAAGTAATAAGAAAGTTCTAGAACTCACCAATTGATCATACTGATAAACCATACGCTTGATGTGAGTGAGTTTGCGATGCAGGTAGTTGACACGCCGCCTCTCCTGCTTATACGCTGGGTCGTTGTTAACGCGTCGGTATTCGTCCACGATGCGTTGTTCTATACTCTGTTGAACAACCATATTTCTATTAGAAATTTGGTGATAGAGTTGTATGGGTTTAGTATTAGAATGAAAATATATTGCTTATTTATAATGAATTGTTCCTATATAAAGTAACTATGTATATTTCTCAGTATCATAATTATAAAAGAAAGAATAATTAGCAGATAAAAATCTAAATTTATATTTAAGTTTTCAATCAACATTTGTTCCAAGCTTTCCAGATCATTCTCGAACTTTCCACACAATTATTTATGGAAATTTTGAGATTATTGCAATCATTTATTTATCTTTTCGTCACAATGTTATCGCTTCTTTCGACACGTGATCAGGCATTTAGTTGAGCGTAGAACAATTATTTCAAATAATTGTTACACAATCAAACAATATCGCGTCATGCATATCTATATTCTATATCGATAAGTCATAGAAATACAGCAGATAATTATGATTATTTACTTATCCTACTCTTGATGAGTCACGCAATTATAAATTGTATTTTTAAATAAAATTGGTAGTCTAGGCAACTGAGGATTTTCCTCATTTCTCTTTATGTTGTCTTTTAATTATTTCCTTTGACTACTGTTGTTTTAAAATATTATTTAGAAGAATGAATTTTTGATGCATTGTTATTTTTTTTGGCGAAAAATGGCAATGACCTGTAAAGGTGATGTAATAACACAGAGCACCTTGATTTCGATAAGAAAACGTTAGCAAATCCTATGTATTGTTGTTATCAATACAGACTAGTGACGTGATGAAGTCAAGGGGTCAAATGTATAACAAATAAAAACAACTACTACTCAACTATATTAGAAAAAAATATTTTGAGGATTAGATAATATCTTTCAACGCCAAAGGTCTGTTATGTAACAACAATCCTTTTCTTACTTACTCTTTGATAGTATAAGATCCCGCTATACAACGACCTTCACCGAGATGTTTATTTGATAAAACATATTTTATATATAATTTTATATGTTAATAAATTTATTGCATATGGGTTGCCTAGCAAATTTCAGTCCAGAGTATGATTAATTAATAATTAAAAAAATATATTTTTTTTGAATATTTCACCGGCGTGATTATTGCATAAATTATACATCAATTGAAAGTATGAAGTCCCTAGAATATGCAAACGTTAGGTTGCCTATTGTTTTCCGGTCACAACTCTCGGGTTGCCAGGTATAAATAGGTAGGTTGATATTAGCATTTTGCACCGGTATGATTATTTAATAAAATATAGGTGAAAATAAAGATTATTTTATTACAAACACGATGGTATAGGGTTGCCTACGAAAAATCAGTCCCAAATTCCGGTTGTCGAATTTTAAAAATTAAAATATTGCTGCGAGTCAGTACGTGCGACAGAGAGGTCCCAACCAACTATCCCATGCGATAGAAGAGGGCGCAGCATAGCAGCTGTTTGAAGCCCGCCCATTTAAAGAAAGAGAGTGCGCATGCTATTTGTTGTCGAAAATGAAAAAGATAGCGATAGACGCTTATATACTGTGCGTCATTTTGGAGTAGATTGTTGTTGTTTGGCTTAAAGGACTCGTATCCAGGCCATAAACTCCAAAAAAAAAAAAAAAGATTGTTGTTGTAGTTACAATTGAAAAAACGTGCTACTATTTATTTTTGATAAAAATGGCAAAAAAGTGTTTTTTATGTGATTCGGATGGTGATGTAATCGATTTTAATGATGAAACTTTTAAAAATTGTGTATTAAAGTTAGCTTTTCGTAAAAAAAAAAACTTTAAATACAGTGTTGTTGAGCTAACCGGTGCGTCACTTGAATTTTTAGGTTACCATAGCATGTGTTATAAAAAAGTGACCGTTTTAAATAAAAAATATAATGATGAATTTGATAATTTTTGTGCTGAATATACAGTAAGTACATTATAATTGAATCTTTAAAATTATTTTAGCTAATACAACTTCTATATTTTTTTCATGTTGAAATAATTGTTAGTAATATTTACTTATTATTATATGTGGTTTTGTTAATTTTCGACACATATAATTTTTTTGTAATTAACTTAAAAAACTGTTGTTTATAATTTAAACAAGAAAATGATCTGATTTTCGTTTTTTTGTAACATAATTAAATAAGAATACTTTCAATCAATTATTCAAATCAAAAAGCTTATAAGATTTATATATCAAACATTTTTATTTAATTGTAAAAATCGTTTTTTTTAGGAGAATACCAATGCATCTACTACTGAAAAAGAATCAGAACAGTTGAGTCCTATTGTCGATTCCGGTGCTACAGTTGCTGATGATGAAAAGAGTAATGTTGAAGACTTGTCTTCAATTTTTGGCGACTTTGACAAGGTAATAAAATATTTTTGTTTTTTTTTTAAGTTTTATGTTATTTTTTATTTTTAATTAAATTCTTTTTCATTAATTTTTACTTAAAGAATGTTTTTAATTCTTTTAGGAGCAGTCAACATCAACAGCATCAACATCAAGCAAAATTATTTGTCTGTTTTGTGATCGTAGCCAAAAGAGATGTGGGAAGAAGCTGATTAATCTTACTTTCCCTAGTAGTGACAAAGTACCACAGCAGATAAAAGATATGGCGAAAAATTTTGGAGATTTAGAGATTCTTTCCAAACTTCAACATCAAACTATTGCATACCATCTGCCTTGTTATGCAGTGTATCAATCAAAAGAGAAGCGGTCCATGGAAGAATCTACTGATTCTAGCTATAGTAAATATAGACAGTTACATCAGTTGGCCTTTCAATCAATATCGAATTTCATTGAAACAGAAATAATAGAAAACAACAAAGTTATGTACTTGGCTCAATTATTTTTAAGATACCAAGCTCTACTGTTAGAGTTCGGAAATTATGAAATTGATTTCGATGATATACAAGATTATCGATCTGAAACCTTGCAAAAAAAATTAATTAGAAAATTTGGTGATCGTATTACAATTGAAGCGTCAACTGCAATACGTAACAAAAAAATTGTGTACAAAACAGACATGGACGTTTCTGTAATGGCAAACAATTTCAAACTTTTGGAGACAAAAAATGATTATGAGTTTGAAAATGTTGCATATTATTTGAGAAGTTGCATTAAAAATATAGATGCTCATCCGCTTCCTCGTAACGTAACTGCTGATGATATCATTCGTGGAGAATGTGACATTCCTGAGCAATTATTTGATTTTATGCGAAATGTTATCCAAGGACCTAATATTTCTGATGAAAATTCGGACAAACTGAAAGTTAAAATAACGTCAATATGTAGTGATATTATTTATGCTGTCACTAGGGGTACATGTAAGCCCGCAAAAAGTTTAACCCTTGGACTGGCAATGAAATCTTTAACCAACTCTCGGCAAGTAATCACGATACTTAATAGATATGGCCATACGATTGGTTATAATTTGGCAGAAGAATTGGAAACTGAAATGACATATACATCAATCCAAGATAACAAAGTTATACCAAAAGGCATAATCGCAGCAAATGGACACAGCACCCACGTAGCGTTCGACAATTTCGACCGTTTCGTTGACACAACTTCTGGAAAGGACACAATGCACGACACAGTTGGAATTATTTATCAATTCTCTAGTAATGGAGCTGATAATTTTGATGATGGTGCAGCTACAACTTCATCAGCGCTTGAAGTAAATGACAACGAAAATGGAGAAGGACCTACCCGCAAGAGAAGACGTTTCAGTGAAATATCACGAGAAATTCGACCATATTATTCTAAACCTAAAGCAAGTATGCAGCTAATTACTGTAGATTCGTTTACTAATACAATGAATTTATGCAAAGCTGCTGCGAAAATAGCAATAGATAAGGATTTATTATGGATAATGTCGTTGTCAAGAATTGATTCTGTTCCTATGTGGTTGGGTTATAATTGTATGATATCAAGTGACCACAGTGAGAAGCAAAAAATTGAGTATTTATCTCCCATAAATTCTTCACCAACGTCATATGCAATAGTCAATGAAACATTAAACATGGCTAAATAGTCTAAGATCCCGCTATACAACGACCTTCACCGAGATGTTTATTTGATAAAACATATTTTATATATAATTTTATATGTTAATAAATTTATTGCATATGGGTTGCCTAGCAAATTTCAGTCCAGAGTATGATTAATTAATAATTAAAAAAATATATTTTTTTGAATATTTCACCGGCGTGATTATTGCATAAATTATACATCAATTGAAAGTATGAAGTCCCTAGAATATGCAAACGTTAGGTTGCCTATTGTTTTCCGGTCACAACTCTCGGGTTGCCAGGTATAAATAGGTAGGTTGATATTAGCATTTTGCACCGGTATGATTATTTAATAAAATATAGGTGAAAATAAAGATTATTTTATTACAAACACGATGGTATAGGGTTGCCTACGAAAAATCAGTCCCAAATTCCGGTTGTCGAATTTTAAAAATTAAAATATTGCTGCGAGTCAGTACGTGCGACAGAGAGGTCCCAACCAACTATCCCATGCGATAGAAGAGGGCGCAGCATAGCAGCTGTTTGAAGCCCGCCCATTTAAAGAAAGAGAGTGCGCATGCTATTTGTTGTCGAAAATGAAAAAGATAGCGATAGACGCGTATATACTGTGCATCATTTCGGAGTAATTTATTATTAAAATAGAAGAATAGTTATTTAATTTTTTTTTTAATTAATTAATTATTTACGTATGTATATATTTTATATGATAATAAAATATATATACATCTTTAGTAAAAAAGGTTAGAGTAATACATGTATAATATTAATTTTGTAAATTTTATTTTTATTTTTAGAAAACAAAATAAAAAAACAACAATTAAAAAAAAATATTTTTATTAAAAACATATTATAAATATAAAAAAAAATTTAATTCTTTAAAATTATTCACGTTCCGAGTCATCGGACATATAACTATGATCTTCAACTTCTGAATCTTCTGCGTCATCACTCTCCGTTTCAGTTCTTTCGACAATGTCTTCTATCTTTAAAGGTGTATGGTCTCCAATAAATCCTACTGGTTTTAAATATTCATCTAAGAACCAACCGCAATTCTCAGGCTGAAGTTTCACGCATATTGGATCCGTTGCATTAAGCCACATGGAATTTATGAAAACAGTTCGTAAAATTTTTTGAATTAATGATATCCAGCATGGTGGAATGGAGTTGGAGTCGAAGCCTTTTATTTTTTTTAAAAACTGTTCGCTGTCTTCTTTAGCAGAATAATTTTTCATAAAAATGCGATATCTCGCATCATTTACATTGTTGCAGTTCTGGATACCATACATACTAGCCGTAAATTCTTGAACGATCTTCATTTTTTCATCAATGAAAATATCAGCAGCATCTGTTAATGATGCAAAAACTGTTTGATATTTTTCATTTTTTAAAAATAGCTGAAAAGGTTTTACTTTTCCTTTATTATAAAATGCTGCCGTGTAATCGCAACCTGTAAATGCATGGAAGGCTGGAAGACTTTGGCATAATTTAATTCCTAACTTCAAGGCTAAATCGGTGCAATTAATGCAATCAACAGATTGATTATTACTCTTTTTAGTTGCTGAACTAGCAAGCCAAAATTCTGATTCCATAAGTTTATGTATATTTCCTAACAAAATAATCAAAACGTCAGTATCAGAGGCTTTAATTAAAATTCTTGAGCCTGGTTTTGCTTTAGAAGCATGAAAAATAATCCTTGTATCTGCCTCTTCGTGATGACATTCATAATTAGTTTCTTCAGTTTTTTTACGGAATTTTCTTGAACTTCATAAGAGTAGCACTGATGGTCGACGGTTAAAAAGATTTTTTTGTTTTGGATTATTGTTGCCAAACGGTCGTTTTCCCAATAATCAGCCAGAAACTGCACCAGAGCTTCTTTAAATCGATAATTTTTAAGACTTTGCAAAAAATTTTTTGGTCTAGTTTGCTGAGGTCCCGAGATGTTGTACGGAATATTGAATTCTTTTCTGCTTTCACGTTCGGAATCTTTTATTGACGGTGATAAATAGCGATCGAAAATTAAATGTATTTCTGTTGCGTTTGTTGAACATATTTTTATAAGTATTGACTCGGCAATTTTATCAAAAGTTTGAGCTATAGAAGATCCGATTAGGTGCAAGTAGTAAAAACCATCTATTATTTCAACGTTGATATGTGTTGGCTGAACCATTTCAGTTTTGGATTTCAAAATCTTTGCTAACGTTGATTTTGTAGTTTTTAACATCTCTCCAGTACATGAAAAAAGAGCAGGGGGCAATGGTGCTAGTGGAAAAGTCAGGCAATATTCGAAATTAATTTTTTTGTTCAGACTAATTGCCAAAAGTCGCCCAAATACGTCTCGTTCCATTTTCAATAATACTTTCTTGTTTTTGTCTTTGGTACTGAGGACTTTAGTCATACATTGAGAAGCAAAATTGTAGATTTTGTTTCGTTTTATAGGTTTATCGAATCTTGCGGGAGTTGAAGAGCATTCCGAGATAAAATTTAATTTTTGTTGATAGCCTGCTGTTTTCACGTTCAGCAGGAAATCAGCAACTTCTTTAGATGTAGCTTTACCCGTTGAGATGTTGAATAATATATCTTTGTCAATCGTGTCATCAAATGGATTCATCGTACATTTTATTGCTTCAATGATACTGTTCAGATTTTTTTTGTCTTTCTTAATTTTACTTTGTTGCAAGGAGTGCGAAGTATCATCTTTTTGCGTTAATCCAATATTTTGTTTGATAGATGTTAATATCTTTGTCCTCATGCTATGACTGAGCGCCCATCTTTGACGTGCAGATATTGAGTCTGCAGCAAGATTATCAGCCAATTGATTGCTAGCATCAGCGTTGATAGTCTGCTCTAGCGTCAAGTCAACTGGTGATCGAGAAAAATTTGCTGCAGTTCGTCTAATTCCAAAGGCGCCTCGACGAAATTCAGCTATCAAAGATGAATTATTGGTATACAAATTGATTAAATTGCTCAAATATAACAAGGACCATCTGGCATAATTGGGCTGGTTTAACGCAAAAAATATATCAGACATGTTGTAAATTGAGTCCACGTACAGTTCAAAATTACTGGTGCGGATACTTCTAGAAAACCGATGGTATAAATTAATTAACTCACAGTACTGGTAATAAAATTGAGCAGTTTTCCCATGTGCTCCTATCAAAGTTTGATTGCAGAATTCTTTATAACCGTTCATAATACGACTCAATAAATCTGGTAACTCTATTGTTTCGTTGACGTCATACGCAGCTTGATTTGATGCATTCTGTATTTGCGTTTGCAGCAGTTCATCCATCGCCTCAGGTGTTACATTAGTTGTGGATGAATACTGTTCAAAATGTAATATTTGTAATGCAGCAGCAGTTAAAGGATGTAAGCGCTTGCAACGATTAAAATGCTTGCTGTCTAAAAAGCTATTCGTGGAGCCGCCAGCTAATACTTCTGCTTGCACCAGTACTTCCACTAATCCACTGCAGTCAATATATTTTCCAATGGCTTTAAAAAATGCCATTTCTATGTGGAACGCCCCCAAGTTAACAAAAATATTATTGTATAGTGGTTTTTCTTGTTCTTGAATTTGCATTGCCATTTTTGCTATCGCTAAATCATATGTTACAATAATTTCTGGCTGCTGACATTTTTCAGCAATTTCTTTTAGTATAAGATCCCGCTATACAACGACCTTCACCGAGATGTTTATTTGATAAAACATATTTTATATATAATTTTATATGTTAATAAATTTATTGCATATGGGTTGCCTAGCAAATTTCAGTCCAGAGTATGATTAATTAATAATTAAAAAAATATATTTTTTTGAATATTTCACCGGCGTGATTATTGCATAAATTATACATCAATTGAAAGTATGAAGTCCCTAGAATATGCAAACGTTAGGTTGTCTATTGTTTTCCGGTCACAACTCTCGGGTTGCCAGGTATAAATAGGTAGGTTGATATTAGCATTTTGCACCGGTATGATTATTTAATAAAATATAGGTGAAAATAAAGATTATTTTATTACAAACACGATGGTATAGGGTTGCCTACGAAAAATCAGTCCCAAATTCCGGTTGTCGAATTTTAAAAATTAAAATATTGCTGCGAGTCAGTACGTGCGACAGAGAGGTCCCAACCAACTATCCCATGCGATAGAAGAGGGCGCAGCATAGCAGCTGTTTGAAGCCCGCCCATTTAAAGAAAGAGAGTGCGCATGCTATTTGTTGTCGAAAATGAAAAAGATAGCGATAGACGCTTATATACTGTGCGTCATTTTGGAGTAGATTGTTGTTGTTTGGCTTAAAGGACTCGTATCCAGGCCATAAACTCCAAAAAAAAAAAAAAAGATTGTTGTTGTAGTTACAATTGAAAAAACGTGCTACTATTTATTTTTGATAAAAATGGCAAAAAAGTGTTTTTTATGTGATTCGGATGGTGATGTAATCGATTTTAATGATGAAACTTTTAAAAATTGTGTATTAAAGTTAGCTTTTCGTAAAAAAAAAAACTTTAAATACAGTGTTGTTGAGCTAACCGGTGCGTCACTTGAATTTTTAGGTTACCATAGCATGTGTTATAAAAAAGTGACCGTTTTAAATAAAAAATATAATGATGAATTTGATAATTTTTGTGCTGAATATACAGTAAGTACATTATAATTGAATCTTTAAAATTATTTTAGCTAATACAACTTCTATATTTTTTTCATGTTGAAATAATTGTTAGTAATATTTACTTATTATTATATGTGGTTTTGTTAATTTTCGACACATATAATTTTTTTGTAATTAACTTAAAAAACTGTTGTTTATAATTTAAACAAGAAAATGATCTGATTTTCGTTTTTTTGTAACATAATTAAATAAGAATACTTTCAATCAATTATTCAAATCAAAAAGCTTATAAGATTTATATATCAAACATTTTTATTTAATTGTAAAAATCGTTTTTTTTAGGAGAATACCAATGCATCTACTACTGAAAAAGAATCAGAACAGTTGAGTCCTATT